CATTCCTAACATCCGGTAGGCTGTTAGGAATGGTGGGAGTTGAAGTCCAAAACACCTGGAGGGCCCAAGTTTGCCCAGTACAGGTATAAAGCATAGTAAAAAGGTGGGAATTTAAGTGCTGAAATCTCACCTGAGTTTGTGGGTGTTTAATCAGTAGCATGATCAAAATCCCTGTTTTTCCGGTATGTTTCCCCCCTTTTAGATTGTTTTGTGTCCCAACAAAATCAGAAAGAAACCAGGTATTTCTGGTTTTGGGAGAGGCTGCATAAAACCTAATGATGCCAGTCTCCTCTGGGGCATTTTTTTTTATGTAGAGAGGAAAGCTTTGGATTATATTCTTACTTATGAACACACAACATTTGGCCAAATTAATTTTAAGAGCAAGCTCTCATTGGCCAGAACACGCTCAGTGTGAGATTGGAGGAACGGTTCAGGTGGGGTGAGATGGGAGAGATAAGAGATTTGCTAACCAGGAAAAAGAAAACACCCTGCTTTGCTTCTGTATTATTAACTCTGATCTACAAGTGAGGCTTTTCATTATTAACCTGTCTGCAACAGGCTTGGATAGATGTTTTTAGCCCCAGTAGCATGAATTATGAAAGTTGTGTTTTATAATGGGTTGTTGTAGGTTTTTCCAGGCTATATGGCCATGATCTAGAGGCATTTTCTCCTGATGTTTCGTTTGCATCTATGGCAAGCATCCTCAGAGGTAGTGAGGTCTGTTGGAAGTAGGAAAATGGGTTTATATATCTGTGGAATGACCAGAGTGGGATAAAGGACTCTTGTCTGCTGGAGCTAGGTGTGAATGTTTCAACTGACCACCTTGATTAGCATTTAATGGCTTGGAAGTGCCTGGGGGAAATCTTTTGTTGAGAGTGATTTGATGTGCCTGATTGTTTACTCTCTGTTGTTTTGCTGTTGTAATTTTTGGTTTTTTTAAATACTGGTAGCCAGATTTTGTTCATTTTCATGGTTTCTTCCTTTCTGTTGAAATTGTCCACATGCTTGTGGATTTCAATGGCTTCTCTGTGTAGTCTGCCATGGTGGTTGTGAGAGTGGTCCAGCATTTCTGTGTTCTCAAATAATAATGCTGTGTCCAGGTTGGTTCATCAGGTGCTCTGCTATGGCTGACTTCTCTGGTTGAAGTAGTCTGCAGTGCCTTTCATGTTCCTTCATTCGTGTTTGGGCAATGCTGCATTTGGTGGTCCCTGTGTAGACTTGTCCACAGCTGCATGGAATATGGTAGATGCAGGTGAAACATCAGGAGAAAATGCCTCTAGAATATGGCCATATAGCCCGGAAAAACCTACAACAATCCAGTGATTCCGGCCATTAAAGCCTCCGACAATAAATTGTGTATTATAATGTCTGGAAGGCCATCTCTGGTCTACAGAATCACGAGAAATTGAAAAGATTATAAACTGTTGACAGCCCTAAAAGGGTTTCTCTCACTGCCCACACACATAATTCAGGTCCACAGGGCTGGATCAACTATATCCAAGAGTATTGAAGGAACCAGTGGAAGTCATTTCAGAACCACTGACAATAATCTTTGAGAGTTCGTGGAGAACGGGAGCACCACAATTGAAGGGAGATGTTGACAAGCTGGAATGTGTCCAGAGGAGGGCGACTAAAATGATCAAGGGTCTGGAGAACAAGCCCTATGAGGATCGGCTTAAGGAGCTGGGCATGTTTAGCCTGAAGAAGAGAAGGCTGAGAGGAGACATGATAGCCATGTATAAATATGTGAGAGGAAGTCATAGGGAAGAGGGAGCAAACTTGATTTCTCCTGCCCTGGAGATTAGGACGTGGAACAATGGTTTCAGAGTACAGGAAAAGAGATTCCACCTGAACATGAGGAAGACCTTCCTAACTGTGAGAGCTGTTCAGCAGTGGAACTCTCTGCCCTGGAGTGTGATGGAGGTTCCTTCTTTGGAGGCTTTTAAACAGAAGCTGGATGACCATCTGTCGGGGGTGCCTTGAATGAGATTTTCCTGCTTCTTGGCAGAAGGTTGGACAGGATGTCCCATGAGGTCTCTTCCAACTCTATGATTCTATATACTGAGGCAAATTTCCCAATCTCCAGCAGTGTTATTCCAAACCTGGGTTGAATCCTATTGCCAGTTTTAAAGCTGCTGTTCCTAGCTTTTGTAGATTTGAGGTTTGCTTTAAATTGATCAGCAACTTGATTTTGTGTAATGAGGGGTCTAATTGGATAGTTAGTACTTGCCAGCCAGCCGAGTTGTAAACACAAGTAACCTACTTATAGCACAAGCCTCTGCCTTCCTGCTCAAAAGTAAGTACCACTAGGTTTAATGGGACGCATCCCATTAGTGTGTGACTAATCAGTTTCCAGCCAGTAATTGTACCGTTCGTTAGGTGATGTTCCATTTATTACATCTTTATTAGCTATTATAAACCTCCCTGGAAACTTTGAATGCAAGGGTAATAAAATGCAGTGCAACGAATGGCTTAAATACTGTAAAGGTACAGGAGCTTTGACGCTAAGCAGAGTCAACTCTAGTTAAAACTTAAATGGGAGACCACCATAGAAAACCAGTTACTGTGGGCTATATTTCAGAGGAAAGACTTGTGAAAGCCACCTCTGAGTATTCCTTGAAATTCAAAGAGTTGCTATAACTTGGCAGGCGACTTGAAGGCATGTACACACACACACACACACAGAAAATATGAATGAATAGTCAGGAGAAAGGTAGAAAAGTTGCAGGAGGTAGTATGGATTGCCAGAATGTATATTCAGTCTTGTGTACTCAGGGATCTTTTCTGATGCTATGAAATATAGTACAATTTTGCAATTGGGTGTTGTGTGGGTTATGGGTTGTATAGTCATGTTATAGTAGCATTTCCTCATGACGTTTCACCCGCATCGCTGCCTAGCATCTTCAGAGGATCTGAGTCACAGATGGAGGCAAAACATCAGTAGAGAATGCTGGCTAGAATATGGCAATAGAGCCTGGAAACCACAGAACACCCCAGTGATTCCAACCGTAAATGCCTTTGACCAAAAAAAATCGAAACTATGTTTTAGATAGGATAATATATGTGGATTTAATCAGTTGATTAATTAACTAGGATTTCTTTATAACCCACTCCTTTGCATATTTATTGAAATGCAAATTCCACTGAGCCCAATGGAACTCTTATAGCAGGTTAGGACTCTGTAAAGTTCCATATGTTTTGGGACTCTGGCTCCCATCATCGCTGACTGGAGCTGATTGTATGTAGTGTCCAGCATGTTTTAGGGAGCCACACCCATCCTTTCTCTTCTGAGATTTTCTGCATTGCCTTGTCTCTCTGTAAGCTTTTGGCTTTGTTTACAAGAGGAAATTTTGAAACCGAGCCTTGTGTTTTATAAAGCCATGATCTTGGTTTGCTTTGTCCATTGGAAGGAATGTTTGCCTGCAGCATTTGGGCCTGGTTATACAACCTACCAGGTGACTTCACTTGCCCTCGTTTCCAGGATCTCTTTTGAATACATTTTGTTTAAAGCCTCTTAAAAATCTTTGTGATATGGAGACAGAAGCCATATACCATTCTCTTGTTCCTGGAAAAGGGTTTTGACTGAACTCAAATTGCTTTACTGACACTATTCCAAAACAAATCTGTCTGTATGAAATGCTTTGAAAAGGCAGTTCTGTGCATGTTCAGAGGGGATTACTTCTACATAGATAAGTAGGTATAGGAGTGCCTATACCTGTCCATGTAGAAACACCCCAAAAGCACTTTTTATTTCCTGTACCCACAGTGCTCGTGTAAAACCTAAAATACCTGTTGAGGTTTATATGAAAGGGGTTGACTCCAGTTTTTCCATCTGCCAGGCTTGCCCCTTTTTTCTTCCTACCTTTGGAGAACATATTGTAAACATGCTGCCAACAGACTGAAGGCCAGTTCTGTGGTCTTGTCTTACAATACTTCTGAGCCTGGCATATTTCTAACATAATGTTTCTAAAGTAACACACATGTTTATTTAGTCCAGTGGTTCCCATCCTTGTTTTGATCAAGGACCACTTGGACCAGGGACCTCTTTGACCAGGGACCACTTGGACCAGGAACCTCTTGGACCAGGAACCACTTGGACCAGGGACCTCCTTGACCAGGGACCTCCTCGACCAGGGACCTCCTCGACCAGGGACCTCTTGACTAAGGACCACTTGGACCAGGGACCCTTTGGACTAGGGACCTCTTGGACCAGGGACCTCTTGGACCAGGGAACTTTTGGACCAGGGACCACTTGGACCAGGGATCTCCTCGACCAGGGACCTCCTCGACCAGGGACCACTTGGACCAGGGAACTTTTGGACCAGGGACCACTTGGACCAGGATCCACTCTCCAACATTAGTACCAAAAGGGTTACGAATCAGTTTTTCATCTAATTTAGATTTGGTTTGGGGTGCTGATTCAGAAAGTTGCATTGGATAGACCACATCAGCTCTAGTTTCCAATACAGAACATATGCCATCCAGTAGTTTCCATCTGCTCACTGATAGAAAACCATATTTAATAAGCCTCAGCACTGTAGGGTTTCACGAGGCCAGTCACCCTTGTTGCAACAATGTAGTAATGGTGAGGCCGCAGACCATGTTTTAGTTCTTGCAGACCACTGGTGGTCCATGGACCACAGGTTGGAAACCACTGATTTAGTCAAACACACAGTCATTTTCTTATCTTAAAATGACCTAGCAATTCTAGTCAATGAGAATGGTGGTGCATATCGTGGTTAACCATAACCTATTTTTAGCCAGCTGTCTCTGGATGAGTCAGTTTTGACTCATCCTATCACATCAGTCTCTGCCAACAGAGCCAATGATGATGGGAATTACAGTCAAACTGTATGGAAGCCAAAGTGTAGATGCACCCAGTTTGGTTTCTTGGTTATCAGAATGGGAGAGAATATTGAGATAATTGGTAGAAACATACCAAGATCTTTGGACTTCTTGTGCTGTTTCCAATTTAATTATTCTTCTGTTCATTATTTTAGGAGAAAAATATCAGCCGCACAGAAAGACAGGGAGTTCTTTGAGGTAAGACAAGTAACAGAAGGGCTACAGCAGCTATGGACAAACTTTGGCCCTCCAGGTGTTTTGGACTTCAACTCATACAAATCCTAATAGCCGGTAGGCTGTTAGGAATTGTATGAGTTGAAGTCCAAAACATCTGGAGGGCTGAAGTTTGCCCATACTTGGGTTGCAGTTTCAGAAATAGCCCCTGTGTATCAACTCTCGTGATATGATATCTTTCAGTATCTACAGTACTGGCCTAGATGGGCGACACCAGTGGTAGGAACCTTAGAAGCTGGGGCTGGACCTTCTTCTTGTAGGCTCCAAGCTCACTCCTTTTGGGATTTCCCATGTAGTTTTACCTCCTTTTCCCCATGATGCCCTCATGTGATGGGTTTCCCAAATTTCTGATCCCTTCTGCACCAGTTTTAAACTAGCTTCAGTGGGCTATCATTTGGACCATCCATGAGTAATTTCTATTTCCATTTTTCTCTTGCCCTTGGAACGTGCTCTCCTTGTAGTTTCTCAGTATTTTGCACTCTATTGCACTGTGGTATCCTTTTTGAAGAGAAACATATTATTAACTATGAAGAGGGTGGTTAACCATAAGTGGTTAATGTACTACTGCATGGGAAAATAGTTAGTGAACTTGTGCCACTTTAAAGACTTAAATTGTTTGTTCTTTAAGGTGACCTAATACACTTCTCAGGAGCCCCCGGTGGCGCAGTGGGTTAAAGCACTGAGCTGCTGAGCTTGTTGATCGAAAGGTCGCAGGTTCGATTCCGGGGAGCGGCGTGAGCTTCCGCTGTCAGCCCTAGCTTCTGCCAACCTAGCAGTTCGAAAACATGCAAATGTGAGTAGATCAATAGGTACCGCTCCGGCGGGAAGGTAACGGCGCTCCATGCAGTCATGCCGGCCACATGACCTTGGAGGTGTCTACGGACAACGCTGGCTCTTAGGCTTAGAAATGGAGATGAGCACCACACCCCAGAGTCAGACATGACTGGACTTAATGTCAGGGGACTACCTTTACCTTTAATACACTTCTAAAGATCCACTCTGGTATAAGGATCCTACATTGAGTGGGGATTGGAGTGTTGGGCTAGAAAGATCTGGGTTCAAATCCCCATTCAACCATGGATGCCCACTAGATAACCTTGGGCAAGTCACATTAACTTAGTTGTTAACTGGTATGGCCACAAAGCACATGTATGAACTCATACATATTCTGGTGCCTGTATAAGGGACTTTGGCAGTAGTATGTCTTAGTCAAGTTGGAATCAGCAAATCACATTCACACAGGCCCCTTCCAAACAGCTGTATAAAATCCACACAGAACTGGATTATATGGCAGTGTGGACTCAGATAACCCAGTTCAAAGCAGATATTGTGGATATTCGTTCTGTCGTTTCTGACTCTTTGTGACCTCATGGATCAGCCCATGCCAGAGCTTCCTGTCAGCCATCACCACCCCCAGCTCCTTCAAGGTCAAGCCAGTCACTTCAAGGACACCATCTATCCATCTTGCCCTTGGTTGGCCCAACCAGATTTAAAGTGGATTCATTCTCTAGTGTGATGTGGAGATCCCTAGTATTGCTTGGTGAGCTTCCATCTAAGTCAGTGGTTCTCAACCTGTGGGTCCTCAGATGTTTTGGCCTTTAACTCCCAGGAATCCTAACAGCTGGTAAACTGGATTTCTGGGAGTTGTAGGCCAAAACACCTGGGGACCCACAGGTTGAGAACCACTGAGCTAAGTGATAACTAATTCCAGTTCTGCTTAGCTTCTTAGATTGAGTGTATTTGATGATGTGTGTTGTGACCCTATAGCATGCGAAGTTAGCATGGTGTAATGGTTTAAGCACTGAACAATGATTCTGGGGACCAGGGTTCAATTATCAATTTGTTCACAGTATCCTGTTGGGTGACCTTGGGAGAGTCACACACTCTCAGCCTCAGAAAATCCAAAAACATAGCCACAAGTTGGAAACAACTTGAAGGTTAAACAATGGCACGTGGAAGATGGTTAAATGGTGGCCCCTCTGGCTTTCCTTCCTTTTACAAATGCAAAAACCTCGGAAATAGTTGTTGGCCTTGTTTGCAAAAATGTTCTTTTTGTTATACTGATTATTTTTTCATTATTGTTATTTAGTGTTTGTACAACTTTGCTGCCTACGTGGCTTTTGTGACCTTCAGGCAGAAGAACCTCAAGGAAATCCAGCAGGAAGTGGGCAGACTGCTCCGCTCAAACATGTTCAACCCGGCTCTGAGAGACAGAACAAAATCCAAGGAAATTATAAAAACGGATGTTACCAAGGAAATTAAGAAAGTCCCTTTCCCTTATCGCAAGTATGACTTGGTTTTTGCTCTTGTGCACAGTACATCCTAATCCAAAACTGTCCATCGGAATAGGTGGAAGGGCTTTGAGTAAATGATGCATTGTTGCCAAGTTGACTTGCAGTGGTTCTCAACCTTTGGGCCTCCAGGTGTTTTGGACTTCAGCTCCCACAATTCCTAACAGCTGGTAAGATGGCTGGGATTTTTCGGAATTGAAAACCAAAACACCTAGAGGCCCAAAAGGTTGGGAACCACTGACGGTGACTCATGAATGAGAGAGCTCTAAGTCAACCTGTTCTCAACATCTTTGGTTAGGCTTCCTTGAGTCTATCCATTGGGAATGCAGTCTCCCCTTCCCCCCATTGCCTTCTATATTGTTGTTGTTGTTGTTGATTGCCATTAAGTAGACTTTAGTTTATGGTGACTTTATGTGAGACCTACAAGTCACCCTGTTCTCAACAGCTCTGCTCAAGTCTTGCAGACTCAGAGCAGCCATGGCTTCCCTGATATAGTCTATTCATCTGGAAGGCGTTCTTTCTCTTTTTATGCTGTCCTCTACCCTACCAAACACTATTGCCTTTTCAAGTGAGTCATTTGCATTAACTAGGGTTAATATGTAATACAAATGTTTTCACACAAACTTCAGGTGGGATTTTTTGGGACAAAGAAACAATGAACTGCCAGTGCTAGGAAGTTCTACAGCATTATGAACTTAGCAGGCAAGACCTCTCATTGTTAGAAAAAAACAATTCCTATATTCTAGGTTTTACAAAGAAAAACAGCTCCCATAGAGGTTTACTGTGAATTTTGCGGGCTGTATGGCCATGTTCCAGAAGCATTCTCTCCTGACATTTCACCTACATCTATGGTAGGCATCCTCAGAGGTTGTGAGGTCTGTTGGAAACTAGGTAAGTGGAGTTTATACATCTGTGGGATGTCCAGGGTGGGAGAAAGAACTTTTGTCTGCTTGAGGCAAGTGTGAATGTTGCAATTGGCCACCTTGATTAACATTTAATCAAAGGATTCCCCCAGACAGGAAGCAGCCAGGCTTTGAAGCTGCAAGGCCATTCAATGCTAATCAAGCTGGCCAATTGCAACATTCACACTTGCTTCAAGCAGACAAGAGTTCTTTCTCCCACCCTGGATGTCTCACAACCTCTTAGGATGCCTGCCATAGATGCAGGCGAAACATCAGGAGAGAATGCTTCTGGAACATGGCCATACAGCCCAGAAAACACACCACAACCCAGTGATTCCGGCCATGAAAGCCTTGCCATGTTGCTCCTCAAAGACAGGTTTTGTCCTTGCCTTGAGTCCCTCTGGAGAGAGAGGGCAGGTTATAAATAAAGTTTTTATATTATTATTTGATACAAAACAAGATTAGTACACAGCAAACAACATCACTATGCTGGCTTTTGTATTGGATCACGTCAGATACTTACCAAGGACTGTGTGATGCATTGGCAAATAATGCGTGCAGATCCGAGTAAGGTGGCCTTTTGCAGCTGACAGATGGTAATCTTGTCAGCTGCAAAAGCCCCCCAAGTTATGCCCCTGAAGAGCTGATTGCTTTTAAGTGCAAGCCAAGGTCTTTAGGCATTGCACCCAGTGTGCTGATCATAAATGGGACCACCTTTACTGGCTTGTGCCACAGTCTTTGCAGTTCGATCTTTAAATTCTCATATTGTGTAAGCTTTTCCAGTTGCCTCTCAACAATTCTGCTGTCACCTGGGATTGCAACATCGACAATCCATACTTTTCCCCCCACGTTTGTGTGGTCAGGAGTATTGCACTCCAAAACTCTGTCAGTCTGGATTCGGAAGTCCCTGAATATTTTGACATGTTCATTTTCTGTAACATTTTTTCAGGCTTGTGATCCCACCAGTTCTTTGTCACAGGCATTATTATTATTATTATTATTATTATTATTATTATTATTATTATTGACACAAAAGCACAGTATGGCACAGCAAACAAGATCTATATGCTGGATTTCATATCACAAAATCACAAGTATAACACTTCCCAAGCGTCTAGGACTGTGTGATGTATTTTCGAAAGCTGCGTGCAGATCCAAATAAGGTGGCCTTTTGCAATTGACAGATCATGATTTTGTCGATGTTTATTGTTTCCAAATGCTGGCTGAGATCTTTTGGCATGGCACCCAGTGTGCTGATGACCACTGGGACCACCTGTACTGGTATTATTATTATTATTATTATTATTATTATTATTATTATTATTATTATTATTAGAAACACAAAAAAATAGTACACAGCAAACAAGGTCACTCTGCTAGCTGGTGTATTATTATTATTATTATTATTATTATTATTATTATTATTAATCATTTGACTTCTCTTCTTTATACCTCCTTAATGTGCGTCTTTTTCTCCCAAAGGAAGACAGACCCCAGGCAACCTGCTATAAGGAGTGTCATGGATCAGCGGTCACCTGTGCTTAGTACTTTGCTGCCTATGGCAAAAGATAGCGCCCAGTACCTTTTCCAGGACCATTATCTCCGTCCTGGCAAAAGCCCCCCAAGTTATGCCCCTGAAGAGCTACCAGAGTTGTCCACCATTGTGTCATCAACAAAGTAAGGAACAAAAGCCATTCTGCACATTGCAGTGTAGCAAATTTGGGCTAGCTTTCTGTTAGTGGCGTAATATGTTCCTGCCTTCTCTTATAGAATTAGTTGGATGTTTTTGTCTAATACAGAAGTCAGAGTTGAATGCGTGGTGCTTTGGTGCATGAAGTGCCATAGCAGATGGGAATTGCTCATTGGAGTCATGTGTTTCACATATGTTTGAACATTTGGTTGTGCATGTTGAAATTCTCCAATGTACAATATGATTTTGTGGGTGTGGAGTTACACCCCATCTCCTTGTTGTAGAATCTTTACCCTAGTATTGCTGCAAACCAACATCCAACAAGAAACAGTCCTCAGACTTGTTTTACCTGTTTTTCTGATGAGCAGATTAGCACTACAGTTGGTCCTCCATATCCATGGTTTCTGTATCCACAGATTAAATAATAAAATAATAGGGTTGGAACAGACCACAAGGGCCATCTAGTCCAACCTCCTGACATGCAAGAAAAGCACAATCAAGATGCTCTCATGACTTGAAAATGCACCCCACAAATTCCTAAAAGCAAATCTTGATTTTTTTTTTTCATTTTATATAATGGACACCATTTTACTACCCTATTGTATATAAATGGACTTGAGTATTTATGGGTTTTGGTATCCACTGGGGGGTTCTGGACCCACTATTCATGTTACATATGCTAAGGACCCATAGTGCTTAGTTCATACCACTAGTAGTGAAAAATGTGATACGTTTGCCTGAAGCATAACCAGTTTATTTTATTTTATTATGTTTATATATTATATTATTATATTAATCATTCACCTTCTTCTCCAAACACCTCAAGACAATGTACTACTTTTCAGAATGTGCATGTAGAATTAATTAGAATTCATTGAGGGATTATCTTAATCTTGGCCTTTGTACCCAGAAGCCAAAGACAGTAAATAAAAGACGAACACTCCAAAAACAGGGGAATTCCTGACATGAAACAATCAGGGCCAGCTAACACCTCCCAACAAAGGATTCCCCAGGCATGAAGCAGCCAGGCTTTGAAGCTGCAAAGCCATTCAATTTTAATCAAGGTGGCCAATTGCAACATTCACACTTGCCTCAAGCAGACAAGAGTTCTTTCCACAGATACATAAGCCTCACTTACCTGGTTCCCAACAGACCTCACAACCTCTGAGGATGCCTGCCATAGATGTGGGCAAAATGTCAGGAGAGAATGTTTCTGGAACATGGCCATACAGCCTGGAAAACTCTGGGCAACCCAGCCACGATCACCGTTAGAGGACTAGCAAAACGGAAAATTCCACCATTGCACCTATCCATGAAATATGAAGGCCACTTCTTTCTCCAGTTTTGTAGTTGGAGAATGGCTCCTGGAACCAGTTAGGGACCATCTGGTTTGCATGGTACAGGCAGGGCAAGGTGCAGCCTTCACTTTCCTGATCTTCTCATCGTATACATTGAAGGCTTGGGAAGAGTGGGGGCTACTTTTTCTGCTGGTTGTGTAATGCAAGGTGGTTGGCATCCATACGCACATCTGCAGGCATCCAGCCTCTCGCCTAGGAGAATGGGGCTACTCTTGAGCATCTTCTGGGTGTCACTGTACAACCAAAGAAGGTGTTTTGTGCAAGCAGGGTAGTTCCTTGCACTAGGGTATGGAGCAATGGTTCAAGCTGCAAGAGATCCCAGCTACCACAGGGAAGCAGTTATGAACTCTTTATCTTGCATTCTGATTTCATCATGATGTTGATGTAGGTAGGACTTGCTCTGCCTCTTCCTGGGTCGTAACAAAGAAATATCTCATTCTCCAAATAGTATCGGCATTATTGGATGTCCACGCAACAGGTTCATCCCACACACGCTCCTGCCTATTTGCACCCAAGAGGAGGAGGAGAAAGAGGAGATGGAGAGTGTCCTCACCAAGACCAGTGTCACTTCCCTGTTTTCCCGGGAATTGAGTGGCTCCTCGAGGCCTGTTCAGCACAGTGGAAGCCGGGCGTCTGTGTCGCTTTCGAGGCCAACCACTGAAGGCGACTACACTGAGGACCCCCTGTAACATACTCTAGTGTTAAGGCTAAGTGTTCCCATGTGTTAAATAAATCTTTTTGAAGCTTCTGTAGATCTGCTGTTGAATTTTATCCATCCTTACCCAAGCCAGACGGAAAAGTAAGCCAAGGTAAAGGTTTCCCCTTGTTCAATTTTGGGGGGTGGTGCTCATCTCCATTTCTATGCCGAAGAGCCATAGATGCCTCCAAGGTCACGTGGCCAGCATGACTGCATGAAGCGCCACAGAAGCAGTACCTACTGATCTACTCACATTTGCATGCTTTTGAGCTGCTAGGTAGACAGAACCTGGGACTAACAACGGAAGCTCATCCCATTCCCCAGATTCATACCACCGACCTTTCGGTCAGCAAGTTCAGATCCTCCAAATCTAGGAAAGGGCACAGCTGGCATATCAGCTAAAGCTGGTAGTAAGCCCTCCTGACTGTCGCATCTACCTGCGTTGACATTTTGAGAGATTGATCCAGGATCTCTCCCAAGCTGCGAGCACAGTGGAAATGTTGACCATTTCCGCTACCTTGGCAGCCACCTCTCCAAAAAAGTCAACATTGACACTGAAATACAACACTGCCTGATCTCTGTGAGTGCAGCATTTTTCCAAATGAAGCAGAGAGTGTTTGAGGACCAGGACATCCGTAGGGATACCAAGGTGCTTGTTTATCAAGCTACTGTCCTCCCAATCCTGCTATACGCCTGCAAAACATGGACGGTCTACAGACGTCACATGCAACTCCTGAAACGATTCCATCAGCTCTGCCTCCGGAAAATTCTGCAAATCTCTTGGGTAGACAAGCAGACAAATGTCAGCATGCTGGAAGAAGCAAAGACCACCAGCACTGAAGTGATGGTCCTCCACCATCAACTCTGCTGGACCAGCCACCTTGTCCGTCTGCCTGACCACTGTCTCCCAAAGCAGTTGCTCTATTCCAAACTCAAGAACAGAAAACAGCATGTTGGTTGACAAGAAAAGAGATTTAAAGATGGGCTCAAAGCCAACCTTAAAAACTCTGGCATAGACACCGAGAATTGGGAAGCTCTGGTCCTGAACCAAATGTGGGTAAACCACAAATGTGGGTGGCCACAGTAGTCCCGAATAGCTCTTGTCACATCCAAAATAGATTACTGCAACGCACTCTACATGGGGTTGCCTTTGAAGACTGTTCGGAAACTGCAAATAGTCCAACGGGTGGCAGCTAGATTACTCACCGGAGCATCATACAGGGAGCATACCACCCCCTTTATGTCAGCTCCATTGGCTGCCGATCCAATTCCAAACACAATTCAAAGTGCTGGTTTTGACCTATAAAACCCTATACAGCTCCGGTCCAGCATACCTGTCCAAACGTATCTCCTTCTGCGTCCCACTTCGGAGTTTAAAATCTTCTGCGGAGGCCTTACTCTTCGCCCCACCTCTGTCTCAAATATACTTAGCGGGGACGAGGGACAGGGCCTTCTTGGTGGTGGCCCCTCGCTTGTGGAATTCACTCCCTGGGGAAATTAGGTCATTGTCAGAGAAGTCCAACAGACCCCTCAACCTCCAAGGATGCCATATATGTTAGCAAAATGATAATGCTTCTGGAACATGGCCAGACAGCCCGGAAAACTCACAGCAACCCAGTGATTCCAGCCATGAAAGCCTTTGACAACATACCTCCTCTTTTTCAGTTTTTCTTCCTTACTTCCTTTTATACTTTTCTATGTTGATGTGAGGCAAGAGATAGGTTGTTATTGTCAATAACTCTGAATTGTTTGCTTGGAGAATGCATTGGAAATTAGGCCGAAGACACCATACAATTAGACTAAGACAGCCTGCGAGTCACTTGTGCCTTTCAGTAGTTTGGTCATCTCACTTTACAGGGCTGGGATAAAAATAAGAAAATTATATGTGCAAAAATGCTTTCAGCACTCCAAATGAACTCCATAACACGGAAGTTTGTGATTATTAAGTGAGCAGCCACTACTGGTGTACCTTTTCTTCAGGATGTATTACTTGCAGAAGGAAGATGTAGTGCCAGAAGATGAGACTCCCGGGTTGGAAGGCATTCAAAAAGCTACTGAGAGACAGCAGAGAACAACTGGGTTGTTGTAGGTTTTTTCGGTAGTGAGGATGCTTGCCATAGATGCAGGCGAAACGTCAGGAGAGAATGCCTCTAGAACATGGCCATACAGCCCGAAAAAACCTACAACAACCCAGTGATTCCGGCCATGAAAGCCTTCAACAATACAGAGAACAACTGTTAGTAATGCTGTGGCTAATGACAAATCTAGACTTCAGCTAAAAATACGGTATATGCAGCTGGTTACGTACTCAGAAGTGAAAAGAAAGTTTAAGATGCAGAAAACATAATATAGGAACATGAAATATGAGAATCATAAATCAGGGGACGATAGACATAGTTAAACAAGAAATAAACATTGCAATACTTAGGGTGAACAAGCTAGAATTGGGCATTTTGAATCATAATTAAATGTTTACTCAAGAAATGATATTCTAAAAAGAAATGAGTGCGACGAGATGTAACAAAACCAGCAAAGGATATAAAAGCAAAGTTTTATCAGTTCGTAACAATAGGCCCAGAAATATTTCATAAACCTAATAATAATCAAAATTTATGCTTCTATTAAAGAGACAGATTTAAAAGATTCTACCAAAATATAACTTTTTAACTACAGATGATTGGGATGTAAGAGTGGAAAGCAAAGCAGGATCTCTCATTTATAGGGTTGCCAGTCTATTTGATAGCAATTGAGAACAAGAGGTGGTCACCTGCAGCAGAGAAGAACACAACAGGTAATGCTGTACTGTAGTATATACTGTGATATTATGAGGAACGTGTTGGACCGTGCAAGGAATCAGTGAGTGAGTGTCAACTGTAAAATAAGATGCATGAAGCTGATTGGTCGGGCAATGCCTGGGGAAATGGCTGAGCTTGGGACTTTTGGGTACTGTTGCATTTTTGTTCAGGCTTGAGCTATGCATGTGCTCAGAGAGTAAAGAAAAGAGAAGCTGGAATGTAGACACAAAGGGCTATAACCTCTTTCACAAAAACCGAACAAAGGGGAGAGGAGGCGGAGTAGCTTTATATGTCAAAAACTGTTACGCTGCAGAAGAGATGCAAGACAGCAAACCAGGAAACCAGCTTGAAAGCATCTGAATAAGAATCAAGCAAACTGGGACTCAAAAAGATGTCGCTGTAGGTGTCTACTACAGACCTCCAAGCCAGGAGGAAGAACTTGATGAAGTCTTCTTCCAACAGTTGACCAAACAGGCACAGAGAAGAGATGTAGTAGTCATAGGCGATTTCAACTATCCCGATATTTGCTGGAAAACAAACTCTGCCAAGAATATAAAGTCCAACAAATTCCTCGCTTGCCTTGCAGACAATTTCATGGTCCAGAAGGTAGAAGAGGCAACAAGAGGGTCGGCTACTCTTGATCTCATCCTAACAAATGCAAAGGACCTGATAAGATGCAGTTGAAGTGGTCGGATCCTTAAGGGCAAGTGACCAGTCCAGAATTGGACACAGTATTCATGGTGTGGCCTGACCAAGGCAGAATAGAGGGGTAGCATGACTTCCCTGGATGTAGATACTATACTCCTATTGATGCAGGCCAAAATCCCATTGGCTTTTTTAGCTGCTGCATCACATTTGCATGTCATTTCCGCATTTTTTGTCCATAAAGGTGTAGGAGAGATATAATGACCTTCCATCCAGCTTGCTTGCTTGCCTGTCTGCCTTCCAGATGTTTTCTTGTTATGTAAAAATTAGTTTTCATCGTGGCTTCTGGCAATTTAGCCTGTTGAAACATAGAGAGGAAACTAGAATAGAATGAGACGGGAAGGATTACTTTATAGAAATATGCCCACTTATTGATTGCATTTGCTCTAAATTTATGGCATTTTTGCACCACTGGACAGTAAAACCTTTAAGAAGATAAAAATGTAAATCACCACAACAATGTAAAACAGATCCAAATCCAGTATTTTCAGAGGATAAACACAGCATTACAAAAACAAAACAATTCAAAAACAAAATAATTGTTACCAGCTGGGTAAACGTGAATGGTTTCAACTGATGTTTGATGATAAATGGCTTCCAACAATTGGACTATGCAAAGAAGAGACTTCCAGAAATGAGTGCTCCCAGTAGGGGTGCATCTACACTGTAGAATTAATGCTGTTTGACATCACTCGAACTACCATGGCTCAATGCTATAGGATCATGAGAGGTGTAGTTTTAACAAGTTCTTCAGCCTCCTCTGCTAAAGAGTGCAGTTGCCTCACCAAACCAGAACTTCCATAGCACTGAGCCATGGTTGTTAAAGTGATCTCAAACTGCATTAATTATATAGTGTAGATGCATCTTAAGAAGTCAGACATGTGCCTAGCGTCTCATCTCAAGAACAGACAAGCATCCCAAGCGCTCTGAGATCACCTGGGAAGGAATCCCACTGGAGCATTGCAGCACCCAAATACCTGGGAGTCACTCTGGACCGTGCTCTGACCTACAAGAAGCACTGCCTGAGACATCAAGCAAAAAGTGGGTGCTAGAAACAATATCATACGAAAGCTGACTGGCACAACCTGGGGATCACAACCAGACACAGTGAAGACATCTGCCCTTGCGCTATGCTACTCTGCTGCTGAATATGCATGCCCAGTGTGGAACACATCTCACCACGTTAAAACAGTGGATGTGGCTCTTAATGAGACATGCTGCATTATCACGGGGTGTCTGCGCCCTACACCACTGGAGAAATTACACTGCTTAGCCGGTATTGCACCACCTGACATCTGCCAGGAAGTAGCAGCCAATAGTGAAAGGACCAAGGCAGTGACATCTCCAGCTCATCCCTTGTTTGGGTGTCAGCCAGCACGTCAATGACTTAAATCTAGAAATAGTTTTCTAAGATCTACAGAGACACTCGCTGGAACACCTCAGCAAGCGAGAGTCCAAAAGTGGCAGGCTCAAACCCAGAACATCAACCAATGGCTGATACCAAATGAGAGACTCCCCCCTGGGCACACAGAAGACTGGGCAACTTGGAAGGCTCTGAACAGACTGCGCTCTGGCACCACGAGATGCAGAGCCAACCTTAAGAAATGGGGCCACAAAGTGGAATCCACGACATGCGAGTGTGGAGAAGAGCAAACCACTGACAACCTGCTGCAATGCAACCTGAGCCCTGCCACATG